CCAAGTCCGGAGCGAAGCTGCGTGCTAGAGACAAGGATGGTAATACCGCTCTGCATTTTGCCGCCAAAGAAGGCGACACCGAGATGTGTCAGATGCTGCTTGATGCCGGGGCTCATGGCGCGGACTGCAATAAGCTGAATTTCCAGCCACTACAACTCGCTGTCACTGGCGGCCATACCGAGACCGTATTGTGCCTGGTCAACGCTATACCGTACCTGAAGACGAACGATGATGCGCTTGTCGAGGCGTTCTTGAGTGCAGTAAAGCTAGGAGACACGGCTACCGCACAAGCCATCCTTGCTAAAGGCGTGAAGCCGAAGAAGATGAAGGAGTCTTGGAGACTGACTGGCTACGCTGCTCAGAGCGGGAGTCTACCCATGCTTGAGCTGGTGCTGAATCAGAAAGCCAGCCTGAAGGATCGGAGCCCACAGAATTACACTCCTCTACACTTTGCTTCCCAGCTCGGCCATCAGCCCATGGTCGAGAAGCTGCTGAGCCTGAAAGTACCGTAAGTGCTACTAGCGACCCAAGCACTCGTCATCTAAGACACTCACTGACACCGCCACGTGGCCATCAAGATGGAAAGCACAGACGAAGAAAACGGACGAGAGCGCTCTCCATCTGGCAGCTGCAGCAGGACACACTGATACCGCTCTCGCCCTTGTAGCGCACAAAGATGCGGCCGTCAATGTCCAAGATGCCGACGACCAGGAGCCCGTGCACCATGCTGTGCGGAAAGGCGACATGAAGCTCTTCACAGCACTCGTGGAACGGGGAGCAACCTTGAAGACAACGAACTCTTACGGATGGAAACCTGTAAGTACCACGACTCGTTCCAATGGTACCATACAGCAGGGACTAATCTTGCTCGCCAGATACACATCGCAGCCGCATATGGTCACGGGGCCTTACTAGCGGAGTGCATGACCCGCGGCATCAGCATCGAAGAAAAGCTCACCACGCCCGACTTCAAACCCGAGAAGCGCACGAACCAGGCCGCGCGGCGAGGCTACTGGGCCGAGATCCGCTGGCCCCACGCAGGTTCGCGACCGCTGCACCTGGCGCTGGAGTTCGGCCACGACGTGGCGGCAAACACCCTCATCTACAGCGGAGCCAAGCTCGAGGAGAGCGACTCCCGGGGCTGGCGACCCCTCCACATGGCGGCGTGGAGCTGCCGCTCCGATATCGTGGAGCTCCTGCTCCAAAAGGGCGTGAGCGTCGAAGCGAAGACCGTAGACGGCCACACGGCGCTAGGCCTAGGTTTCCGCGCCCACGGGCTGAGCACAGACGAGCTGCACCGCCGCCGCATCTACGATATGTTGTCCATGGCTATGGCGTACCAGAAACCCTCCGTGCTGCGGCAGCTGAGTTCGATTGTCTCGTCCGGGCCGTCGGAGAGCAGTCGGACGGCGCATCAACGGAATCTGGCGTGGCATACGGCGCAGTTGGCTGAGGCGCTGTTTCATCAGCCTGGCGCCGGGCAACAAGGGAGAGGAGAGCGGGACGATGTGAGTGAGTCGCTGGATGGGTCGGAGATTGGGGTGGCGGTTTCGGACGGGTTGGATAGGAGTCAGGAGGATTTGTATGCCGCGCTGCAAGGGTCGTCGCGCACGCCGAAAGGGTAGGCGGGAGAGCGGTCCATGGCCTGCACATTATGGCATCGCGCCAGTGAGGCCGACCAGCGTTCTCGACATAAGCGGGACGGACTATTCGGTCGACACTAAGATCTTCGAGATGTACCACATCTTGACTTGCGTAGTGCGGCTGAAGACTACAACCGCTCGGACGGCGCGCATGAAGACGCTAGGTCCCCACAGGAAGAGCATGGCTTTCGTACGGCTTTAATGATGCTCGATATCTAGCTACATCTCGAGCCACAGAGGAGACCCCAGTCATGAAATAGTGGCTTGGGCTTCGCGCTATCCTGCGTCCGCACCGCACTCCCACTATACAAGCTCGCCCTGCTCTCGAGACGGTTCCGGGTTTTGCTGTCTTGGGCGGTTCTGTTTTTTACACGCCGCCCATGGTGAGACGCAAGCTCTGGGCTCCCTGCTAGGTCTAATACATCATCTGGCTATCGAGCCAGAGATTGTGGTGGGTGCTAAGGTCGACCGATCTTGATCATGGAAAGGGCGTCCCAGTGCCAGTGTCCAACTAAGTGGATACTCTTGTATCAAGTCGAAAGCCTGATATATCCGCGAGTACGGCGTCTCGATTGCCGTAAAATCGTCTCAGTGGTGTCCCAGCGCGATGGTCAAGTCCGCGGAACCCACGTCTTCCACGAGGCGCTCCTTGCACTCAAATAGTCGCCACTCTCAATAGCCTTCACCAAGCCCCATAGTCCACTAACCGGCCACGTATCCCAAAATGCCCGCGTCACCGACCACCCCGCCGCATCTCGCTCGTGGTCGCCCTTCACCTTATCGTACACCGTGGGCAAGGAGGTGGCGTGGTACTTCTCGCGCAGCTCGTCATACCACGCTTTGTCGAAACCCGCCCAGAATCCCTTCTCCGAATAGTACGTCTGAGCGTACAACCACTTCATCCCGCCGAGCTCCTGGAGCTTCTTCTCGATATCCCTGTTAGCCTCAACAAAGCCCTCGCGCGTCGTTGGCCCGAGCCCCCACAACCCGATATTCAGCAGCGGCTTCAGCGTCCTACCATCGGCCTCGTACTCGTCGAGATGCGGATGCATATTAGGCAACGGACTCTGCTTGAGCGGACACAGCCAAAGCGGATAAATACCCAGCCGGCTATCGGTGTACTCCACGAAGTCGGCCGCCGTCGCGTACGGCAACGCGACGTCCTGGACGATCATCCGCTCAGACTGCCCGCTGGCGTGGAGGGCATTGTACAGCATGCGGGTGTGCAGGAAGTCGTCGAGCCACCAGCGCGTGAAGGCGTTGAAGGGCATGCCG